AAAAAAAAAAAAAAAAAAAAAAAAGAACTCTGTTTCAAGTTATCTGTTGCTATTCAAGGGTGTCGTGCAAACCTCATGGCTCCGAAAAGTAGATGTTAACCTCTCACATCTAACTGAGAGACAGGTAGAGAAAAGTTACCATGTAAATGTCCAATGACACATTAGGGGTTAAGAAACCAGTCAGATAGTGAGCATCGGGCTAAAAAGACACAAGACTGAGTCCTATTTTAATGCCTAGTTCTTCTCTTTTTTGAAGGCAGCTATTTGCATATTATTTATTTTTAATCTTATAGCTGACAGATTGATTCATAATTAAAACTGTGTCATATGTTTGCCCACCAACTCCCCTCTGCAACAGGCTTAGGTAGGGTTTTAGGTGCCAGATTGAATCAAATCCTTTTTTTAAATGTCTTCAAAATAAAGAAACAGTCTGAGCTTGAGAATCTTACTGTTCATGAGGTTTTTGGAAGCCGCTAACTGGGAGCTCCTATCAATTGAGTTACTGCGAGAATTCCCACCAGCGACGAAGATGATATTTCCTAGCAGAGACAACCTTGGACAGCGCCACAAAGTGCCAAACTCTTCCAAAGTGTCTTTAAAGTGGCCTTGAACTTGACACTCAAAGTATAATTGAGATCTATTATTGTGGCCAAATGCTGTTCTAAAACTGTGTTTTTCAAACTTTTTAAAGTAGTAGAGCCATGTTCCAAACAAAAGAGTATATTACAAGCCCAATATAATAATAACAGTAACCAATGTTGTTTAGTGCTTTCTATGGACCAGGCCCTGTGTAAGCATTTTTTACATATATTCTCTCATTTAATTCTCACAGGAAATCTGTGAGAGAGGTATTATTACCAAAGTCTATGACTCACTGTTTCCTGAGTTTTACTGTCTCTGGAATTTAAAGTGTATGGTGTGTTGAAACTAACCAGCTATCTCCCTTCCCTCACTCAGCCCCAAAAGAGCAGCTATTATATTAACTATGCACCATATACTCAATGGCATATTAGAACTGAGGATGTACAATGTTATCTCCATTTTAGAGACAAAGAAATAGAGGTTTAGGAGGATAATATCACATAGGTTACTAAGAGACCAATTCATCATCTGAGCTCAGTCTACATGACCCCAGAGCCCATGGCTCAGACCACTAAGCTACCCAGCCATTCTGGCTGAAATGGGGGCAAGAGTCACTCTCTGGGGTTCACATGCATTTGGGAAGACCCCCAGGGGCTTCTACACAGAACATCAGAGGTAAATGAAGCAAGAATAGAAGTCACTGTTCCAGAAAATGCAAATTTGAAGAATATAAAAGTTACATAAGAAAATAACCAAATTCATTCTACATATTTGGTATAGTCCATTAAAACGAAACTTCCAATTGCAAAAATGTGGGGAAGGATGGATACAAAGGAGTAAAAGGAACCTTTGGGGGTTATGGATAAAATAAAAATTTTATTTTTATCCCTCAAAAATAAAATTTGGATAATTTTATTATCCTAAATAACAAAATTTAGCATTTTGATTGTTTTGCTGGCTTCACAGGTATACACATTTTAAAACTCATCAGGTTACAGTACACCAATTATACCTCCATAAAGCTGTAAACAAAATGTTTTTTAAAAAAAGTTCTTTCGCCAAAAAACTAAAAACAGAGAAAAGAGAACTCGAGATGAATGGAACAGAATTACTAACGTACACATTTTAAAAACATCCGAATTTATTTAAGGAAAAAATGTAATATAAAAAATCACAGTCATAAAATGATCTATATTTTACTCAACAATCATTCACGAGCATGTATGTAATATAAGCAAATAACTCTTGTGTAAAGTAAGAAACCAAGACAACAAGAAACCAAAAATCTAGGGCAGAAGAATACCGGAACATAATGTACCAACTCCTCCAGGAAGGAAAAAGAGAGGGAAGAAACCAACAGACGTTTTAAGGTAGGCCCATCCTGATCCAACCATCACATCCAGAAATACAGACCCAAAATCAGTCTGCCAGGTCATTGCTAGAGCCAAACAGAGGCACATCTCATGACCTGGCAATTCCAGTCTTGGGCATGCGCTCACCAGAAATAAGCGCTTATGGCCACCAAAGGACTTGTACAGGAATGTTTCCTAACAGCTTTATTCATCATGGAAACAATCCAAGCGTCCACCAACAAGGAGAGTGGATAAACAAACGACAGTCCTACTCATACACTGGAGATACCACACAGTAATGGAAAAGAACAGATTACTGACAGATGCAACAATGTGGAGCAACCTCACAGACAATTTAAGTGGCAGGGGGTGGGGGGGGAAGCTAAGCCCCAAAGAGCACATCCTTTACGATTCTGCTTATATGAAGTTCAGAACAGGCAAAACTAATCTATGCTATCAAAGGTCAGCACAGTGGTTACCCATGGGGCAAAGGATGCTGACAAGAAAGGGATAGGAGGGAACCTTCTGGTGGCTGAAAATGTTCTGCATTTTGATCTATATTGTGGTTACACAGTCGTCTATACATATAAAAATTTCACTGACCTGTACACTTAAGATAATTATACTTTATGCATTTTACTGTATGCATTTTTTACCTAACAAGATTTAAAAATACTGTTAGGACTTAATGTCTCATTTATAGCAGCTAAAGAGGAAATAAAGAGCTCAGAAAATAAAATATGCATGTGTTTGCAGGGGGGTTGTTTCTGAAATGCACAGATGCAAGGACAAGATCACTGAGGACTAAGAAAGTAAAAAAAGCAAAGACCAAAGAAAAGAGATGGAACATGAATAAGGATAACATCCCCATCTTCTGAAAGGGTCCTATTTCAGTCCTTCGTTCTGATCAAAAATAGACTTTGAGTTCCCATTGACACTACTGTATTACATAACCTATGAATGATGCTTATCTGCTCATAGAATTTACTTCCCTCAATATAAATAACATCTCCCAAAGAGTCCTGCAATTTTTAACTTGCACGTTAGGAAGCCAGATTCTGCCTGTTAGGAAGTTAAAATTCTAGGTCCCCAGAAGAAAACTAGTTTGTCTTTCCTCTCTGCAGAGGCAGCAGGCGGAGAAGTCTCACAGATACAACTGTCCCTGGCATCTGGACAGTCTCTGGCCCCAGCTAGCCACAGAACCTTCCACATTGGGGCAGGAGCAGGGAGCTGCCTTGGGATTTTTGCTGTTGCTACTGAAACCTATTAGTGGTTCCACACTGAGAACTATTTTGACCACTTCAACTATCCTCCTCTCCAGAATACAAAGGATGGTTTTAGTTTTTTAAAACCAGAAGAAACCCCAAAAACAGGCTATCTAGGACTCAAAAACTCCAAATAAGTTTGATCTCATTATCTGCTTCAAGCTGTCAAGTTTACACAAACATCAGTCATCAATATTATAAAGATATTCCCCTTCTCTTCTCTGTTTCAGTTTCATGTTATTTTAATCAATTTTGGTTAATGAATACTCACAGTACAGCTGTTACGAAGGGCATCAAACTTGCGCTGGATTTCATCTCTATGTGCCTAAAAGGTAAGAAGTTGATTATAAATTTTTCATAGGGTAGAATATAATTCTACATGCTATGGGTCAAATATAGAAAATAGCAATTTGTCTGGAAATTGCCCACAAATGCTGTGGTGGTAGCGCCAGCATCTGTTTTTCAAAAAACGAATTAATCAAATCATCCCCAACATCAGAAATAAGTTACAGAAATACACAATGGTGTGTTGAAATCAATTACCTATTTATGCCACACATACACCCCCTGTACAAATATTTTTAACATTCATATTAATGCCTAGGGACTGCTGAGAGAAAAAGGGGGAAAAAAATAAAAAATAAAGGATGACAGTTTTACTCTTCTTCATTCTCCATTCTGAAAATATAACTTTCCCTCTTCCTTCCTGCTGACTCCTCCCCTTCCTGAGAAATACACACACACACACACACACACAGGGACATAAATACAGGACAAAAGCCAGCACAAAGTAGGGACTTTCTGTGTGTTTGTGTCATTTTTTTTATCAAAACCTACAATTGACCTTGAAGTAAATACATAGGCTTCCTCTGAGGAAAAGCTGCCCTAAAACAGCAGCATTCATTCAGTTGACAAGGATTTTTTGAGTGCATATTATATGCTCATTAATTTATAAAGAAACAAATTAGTCTCCATAGGAAAGTCTATAAGACAACTGAGTCAAAAATTTTACAGCTGTGACAGTTTCTCTAGTATGTTTCTTTATAAACTAGTAAGTTTGTAACAGATTAGACACTTTAGAAGAAAAGATTAGTGAACTTGAAGACAAAGCAGTAGAAACTATCCAAAACGAATAGAGGGAAAAAAAAGACTTAAAAAAATGAACAGAGCATCAATGAGCTGTGAGACTACTTCAAATGGCCTAATGCACATGTAATTAGAGTCCTCAAAGGAGTGAAGCGATGAGACAGAAAAAATATTTGAAGAAATGGCAGCCATGTATTTTCTAAAGTCGATGAAAGCCATAAATCCAAAGATGCAAAAAGTTCAATTGAACCCCAAGCACAAGAAACATGAAGAAAATTAATGTAAACCACATCATAATCAAACTGCTTAAAACCAGCAATAAAGACAAAATCTTAAAACCAGCCAGAGGAAAAGACCCATTAAGAGAAACAAAGATAAGAAAGATGGCAGATTTCTCCTCGAGGATATGGGGAGTGCAGAAGGGAAGCTAGAAGACAGTAGAGAAATACCTTTAAAGTACCAAAAGGTAAGGGGGGGTGGGGGGAAAACCCTAGCAACCTAGAATTCTACACCCAGCAAAAATACCTTTCAAAAGTAAAGGTAAAATAAAAACTTTTTCAATCATACAAAAGTCGAAGGAATTTGTCACCAACAGACCTGTACTATAAGAAATGTTAAAGGAAGTCCTTCAGGCAAAAGGAAAATGGCAACCAAAAATTTGGATCTACACAAAAGAATGCACTGGAAAAATGGTAAAACAAAAATAGATAGTTGAATAGACAGACTCACAGCCAGATTCATAAATAAAAACCTATTGTTTAGAATCAACTTCCTTTACGGACTAATTTAATAGATCATACTTTTTCCAAAACTCAATCTGCTAGCAACAAGAGATTTATTAATATGATATGGTAAGAATACTATTTACCCAAAATAAGAATGTGGCTATCTGCATTACTGTGGAAGTCTCATCCATGACCAAGCACCAGCCTGCCCCCAAGGACAACCCAAGCCCCTCTAGTGCGTTCCATAATCATCAAGGACAAAAGGCAAGGATTCAGAATAAGGCCCTTGTGTTAATCAACTCTAGGTCAGGGGTCAGCAAGTCTTTTCTTTCAAGTGTCAGAGAGTAAATATTTTCAGTTTGTAGGCCATTCAGTCCTATTCAGAACTATAGCCATAGACAGTAGGCAAACAAATGGGTATGGCTGTATTACAATAAAACTTTATTTATAGGAAACAAATGACAGACCAAATTTGGCCCGAAGGCTGTGTAGCTTGCCAATACCTGCTCTAAATGACTATTTGGTGTGAAATCTCTCAAAGACAGAAACAAGAAGCTGAGGATAGAGTTAACCCCTTCGAAGCATAAGCAGTGACTATAAAAAAAGCTTACTGGCCTAGATATGGGGACAGAAGCCCTATTCCACTTTCTTATTAGGTTCTACTTTCTTATTACCAGCAAAGTTTCCCAAAACACCACACCATTAAAAACTCATTTAACTGTCCCACTGGAGTCTGAAATTTCAATCATTAATACTGATTCATTTCCATTAAAATTGGCCATTATGGGGCATCTGGATCATTTCAACACATCAAATGGCAATCTTCTCTCAAGATACAATAAACTATAGTCATTATGGCTTTTGATTTATTATTGATTGTGAAATTTAAACACAAAATGAACAACTGACCCTTGTGGCTGCTAGAAATACTATTAATACAAGTACTTAACAACCACTGAACTGTAAGAAAATGGTAAGAGTCACATGATTTATGTTTTTTTTGAAATATATTGCAAAACAAATACACAAAAAGACAAAAGATCACACAATAGTATATATAAGCATAGTAAAATACATAAGACAAGGTTTGGATTCTCTCAGTGAAACATCTGAGTGTTAATTAGGTATTAGGTCTAGAGGGAATAAATGTTTATACTCTTAAAAATTATTGATGCCCCCCAAAGAGCTTTTGTTTATCTGAGTTATTTCTACTTACATTTACCACATTAGAAATTAAAACTGAAATATTATTCAAATATTTTAGTTTTCTCTTAAAATAACAATAACATTGCTTTTGCGCCATCAGTGCAAATATTAACACAGTGAAAAAATGCCAAATGACATCTTAGTAGTATTATGAAAATAGTCTGACCTGGGAACCTCAAGGGGTCCATAGACCCACTTTGAGAACCACTGACCTAGAAGTTGGGTGGCAACAAAGTAGAATGGGCAGACTGCAGCCATCCTGGCATGAAGACCAGACGGACACTTTCTTTTGGGAGCGTTTATGCCTTAGTGAACTTTTAAGGAAAGTTACAAGAGGAAGGAAGTAAATTATGATGCAGTCTGATTAAAAAGAAATACCCGCAGAACTGAGGAAAGGAACAGTATTTAGATGTCTGATCACTTTCTGGGATCCATGGTCAGGATTCTAGAACACTCAGGCTTCTGTGCACCTATCCCTTTCCTGGTGAACATAGGCACCAAGCAAGGATGTCACCTTACATGCTCCAATTTCACATCTTGCTATCATGTTGATGGCTAATTAATTAAATACAAGGCTTTGATATTTATGTGCAAGAATAAGAGCATGCGTTGACTAATTACCTTAGCAAATGAGAGAGGATGACTTTGGGATCCCATAATCACACCACAAAGGAAGAAGGATTCCTTTCATTAGTGTCTCTAGCTCTCAACTCTTGATTATTCAACATAAGTCACTTGACCCAATCAGTAAAAGAACAAAGGGACAGGAACACAAAACGTGTGGCCTTGCTGGTGTACACAGAGCACACGACGTGCCTCTCCCAGGTGACCCCATTCAGTTGTGCTAACAGTGTGCAGACTTAAATTCTCTTCCTCAAATGAAGGGATTATGTGGAGTCTTAAACACCAAGTCCAGGCAGAAAATTTTCTTTTCTACCAGTAAGTACCGAAGTATCTTAAAAGCATGTTTCTGTTTAAAGTTGGTCTCAGCCTTGATTCATTCTCAGCTTTTAATGGCCAGTTGATTTTAATACAAATGCAATTAATTGATGGGATGGGTAAAGTGAGAATGGGAAAAAAGAAAGAGGTAGGAAGTGCAACAATGGCCTCCCAGCTGCTCTGGCAAGCTCCTTCCATGAGAGCTTCAATTTAACTGTGCTCCATCTAATTTGGCCCAGGGGCAGAGGCCAAACAAGGTAACTGCTCCCCTCCCAGGCTAGGAGATGGCTGCCTCTTAGAATTAAGCAGTAATAGCGTATTTGACTATTCCCTTTTATTGATAAAAACAGCCTACTGTGAGGCTCACAAATCTCCTAGGAGATTATTTTAGATCCAGCTGATTTAATTTGACTGACACTTGTGTGGGGTCTGAACTTGGGCCTCGAACAATGAGAAAGTCAGAAAGTATTACATTTGTGACCGCCTTCTCTTTTTCTTGGAAAACACACTCTTCAGAATAAATTCCACCATGCCATGCAACAACCACGTGCTATCCATAACCAGAGTTATGGGAAACAATCAAGAAAATAGAAGGGGAAAAAAAAGCCCACAGCCTCAAAACTAAACTGGAGCAAATCCATACGGAGTTTGGATTTCCGTAGGATGGGTTTATAGCCAGCTCTTTGATCAAAGGCACTTCTGCCATCATTTGAACAAGGCCTATTTTCCACAGCATCTTCACTTGCAACGGCCATAGATCTTAGTTTCTAGACCTACAGAGGTTTGTTTCTTTATTTTTTTTTTTTAAGAAGATGCTTTGAGGCGGTGATCTCATCTAACTAAATTAAGTCGTGACTTGCTGCTGGGCTAGGCTTCCTGCAGCCATTAGACACAGCACATTCCAACCAGCAGCAAGACAGGATTTAGAGGACTAATTTCCTCACAGATAAGAGCAGTGACACGTGCTCTGTTTTATACCTTCTTCCTTCCAAACAGGGGCAGGGTAAGATACACGGCCGCCACGCCCTCCCAGTTCCAGCAGAGCAGCAAGATAAATGTGTCCTTCTCAGCTGCTCTGAAGTAAACGGATTTGGGGAATTATAGGCCAATCCCTTAGGGAGAAAAGGCTAAAAACACAGCGTTGGGCACACAGCAAAGGCTCATTAAATATGGATTAAATTACTGATGTCTTTCTCTCAGAGCTTAGGTGTTCATACAGGGGAAAATATTAACATACAATGCATTAAATATAATAGTGGTTGAAACTTAAGTGTCTCCCCTTAGGAGCTAAGAAATGCTGTCTGTCTGTCTGTCTCTCCACCCACCCAACTCCAGCAAATGCATAAGCCTTCTTGGCATGAACTCGTACATCTCGATTGCATTCTCAGCTCCATGTTTTTCTTCTATAGACTTATTTCCTGTTTGCTTCGTCTTTCTTGTTTTGCCCTGTTTTATCGTTTTGTAGCTTTCCAAACTGCTTTTAGTCCATTATGAAACAAGGCAGAGTATAAACAAAGAAATATCATGATTATTTTTTTCCAAACCAAATACTGGGTCATTTAATGAGCGTTGTCATAGTGATGATGGAACTTACAGTTGCAATTGATACGTGAACTTGGTGTAAGTCCTGGAAAATCTAGGATGCACAAACACCTTCCATACAGGAGTTACTGTGTACCCCTAGAATCGTGGAGGCCACTGTACCTCTGACTAGTCCCATAAGGACCCTGGCACTGTCAGATCACATTCCCAATTTGGTTCAGATAATGGGATACTCAATCCAACGACGGGCAATAACTTCTAACAATGAAAAAAGGTTAAAAAAAAATACACATTACTTTTAAACAAGGTAAATCATAAGCAATGAATGCACATGGTCATTTACAGAAGTAACTCTGCCCTAAGGGAGGTTTAGAGATGTTTGCTGATGGAGATGGGGACAGCATCCAAGTTGAATCAGGATGAATAAGGGACACATTTAGGTACCTTATAAAAAACACCAAACCAAATCAGCTGTATTGTGCCCGTCCCATAGGAGAGGGCACCCTGACCAGAAGGCATGAGTGTGCTTGTCTGCTTGGCAGGGACAGTATGTCACTATGAGAAATGCATGTGCTTGGTTGACACTAGTCATTAAAACTCATTGAGCTTCCTATGTTCAGAGTCAGGGTCCACCAAGGAGCTTTCCAAGAATAACGGGGTTTTCTAAGCACACTTCCCTGAATAGGAAAAAAATGCAAAGATTGGCCATCCGGAGTGCCACAGTCAACTTGGCAGTGGCATTTCTCCCTACAAGCTGATAAGCTGGCATTTTACATGTAAGATTCTTGTGAGTTTTGTTAACCTGGATCAGTCCCTTTGAGAATGACCAACTGGAAAATGGCCCCCCAAAAATCCCATTCTCAGGCTTCTAGAAGGAGCTAAGGTCTAAATCCATTGACCCCCTGCACTCCTTCAAATTCCACCTCCTAAGAATACTCTTAAGCTAAGACAAGGGAAGCCAGGTCCCTTTTAGAGAAAGAATCTTTCATTCAGCAGAATCCTTCCCACCCAGATCATAGCAGATGCATACGAAAGACAGGAAGCAGAATCTACAGCTTTAAAAAAAAGTAACATACAGAGGTTAACCAAAACAAAAAATACAAGTATGGTAAAAAGACTACTGGAAGATATAAGATTATTATTTTTTTAATGATTATTATAAACTAAAGTAGAAGAATCAGGTAAATAGACTTTGTTTGGCTGAAACAGAAATTTAAAATATGATGATTATTTTAAAAAGAAGGAAGACACGTAAACGAGGAATTTTTCAAGATACTAAGGAAAGCTAAGATATTACCAATCAAGCTAGTATACTAACTCCAACAAAGAAGAAGCCTATGAAAGCCAACTTTCTGCCCATTAGATATCTCTGTGGATTGTTTTTTCCCTCCTAGAATTTTTTCATGTGTAGAGATGGGGTCTCGCTATGTTGCCCAGGCTGGTCTGAACTCCTGGCCTCAAGCGATCCTCCCACCTCGGCCTCCCAAAGTGCTGGGATTACAGACATGAGCCACCATCCTCTCAGAAATCCTAAGAGTGAGCAAACAGACCCAGTGCCACACCCATCCCAACCTGAAGGCGCTGCTCTCCAGACCTACCGTAAGCGCCTGGATCTCCTCTTCAGCTTCTGCTGTTGTCTCCTCCAGCTCTGTCTTCGCCTGGCGAAGCTGGCTCTCCAGGGCTGCCCGGGCAGCCTGCAGGGCCGTCAGCTGTGACTCACGCTCCTGCAGGGACAGCTGTAGCTCCGTCAGCTGGCGCTTGAGTTCCAGTTTCTGCTCCTCGTGCTCAAGACTGACCTGAGAGGGAGAGACACAAACCCTTGGTTGGTGTGAACCAAAGAGAAAGTGAACACATGACCTGCTACTCAACCTGTAGCCGAAACCTGGTCTTGGAACCACATTATCAGCCCTCCATGGAGTGGGGGAAATGCAATATATTGCCCTGACTTCCACGCATCTCAGAAATCAACAGAGTAAGAACATGTAAGAGGATGTATCTCCTACCCACCCCTTACTTTAAAATACTCAAATGCCTGGGAAGGCTTCAGGAGAAAAACCACATAGCAAGAATTACAAATAGGCCGGGCGCGGTGGCTCACGCCTGTAATCCTAGCTCTCTGGGACGCCGAGGCGGGCGGGTTTGAGCTCCGGAGTTCAAAACCAGCCTGAGCAAGAGCGAGACTCCATCTCTACTAAAAATAGAAAGAAATTAATTGGACAACTAAAAATATATAGAAAAAATTAGCCGGGCATGGTGGCACATGCCTGTAGTCCCAGCTACTTGGGAGGCTGAGGCAGGAGGATCGCTTGAGCCCAGGAGTTTGAGGTTGCTGTGAGCGAGGATGATGCCATGGCACTCTAGCCTGGGCAACACAGTGAGACTCTGTCTCAAAAAAAAGAATTACAAATAAAAATTATGACGATTACTTGTGTTAGAAAAACATTCAAAGGTAAATGGATATAAATATCATCATATTAGTAATAGGGACACCTTTACAATTTGAATGCAAATGCAACCACATGCTGAATTCTATTTATTTTAGATATTCTTGCTCTGATTTGTTCTCATTAGGTAATGTGAATTAATGTCACACTTTATAAGCTAATCATTCTTCCCTCCATCTGTTCATCCATCCATCTATCTACTCAATGTTTCAGGTATTCGTATAAGAAAAATTGACTCAGCAATTTCTGTGTAACAGGGAACATGGAGGTGAAAGTCTCTGCCTTCAAGTTGGGGAGGAAAATGAAAACCGACCAGTACCATATATTGTGGTCAAGTGCAATGGGCAGGGAATGTAGGGACGTTGTGGGAACACAGTGGAGGGGTAGAGGAGCTAACTCTGGATCTGTTAAATTCTAATGAAGAATTTACAGGAGTCAAACAAGCGGGTGAGAAAGAAAGAAAATTCCAGGCAGAGGAAGCAAGACATCCAAAGGCAGGCAGGAAAGGGAGATCATGACACATCCACTGACCTAACAAATGGTGACAATGTTGTCCTAGAGACCAGCGCCAAGCAAGAGATGCTAGCTGCCCTCAGGGAGCTCGCTGTCTAAGGCGACGGCCAACAGAGCACACGGTGACGAGCAAAGCACAGAAGGCCGTGGGGGTACACAAACCAGACACCCAGCCCAGCCTCGAAGGGTCAGAGAAGGTTCCCCAGAAAAGGTGACACCTAAATTCCTAAGGCCATAGGTGTGAAGAGATGAACGTGCAAAAGATTTAACCTGGAGAACCAATAGGATCTGGTCATTAATTTGAGGTGGGACAAGGAAAAAAGGACAGAGAGGAGTCAAAGGTGATGCCCACGTTTCTGGACAGGTGAATTATGCACAGAGAGAGACCACTGGCTATGGCAGGGAGGAGAGGAAGAGCCAGTTTGAGCTGAAAGAAGTTCAGTCTTGACGTGCTGAACTGGAGCCCCAGGGGAGACATCCAAGTGGAGATGTCTAACATCTGCTGTGACAATGGGTTAAACTCAAGGGAGAGGTCTGGGCTGCTAACTGAGATCTGGAGGGCCTGAATAAACTGGTGACAGCTGAAGCCACAGCTGCGATCTCTCCCTCGTGGTGATGCTGATGTGAAAGCAGCAAACAGTCCTCACAACACACCAGGCACAGTATTGACTCGCTTGATCCTCACAACCACCCAATGAGGGAGGTGCTGCGATTACCACCTTCATTTTACAGGTAAGCAAACTGCGGCACTGACTGATTAGGTAACTGAGCAAATGTCACACGGCTGAGACAGGGGCGGAGCTGGCACTCCAACCCAGGAAGTTGGCCTTAACGGTCTGTGTCATAAATATTGCACCTTACTGTCTGTCTTATTAAAACGCCAGCAGTCAGAGCAGGGCTGGTCTCTACTAGAAAGCCCGAAAATTCCCCTGATGCCACTTGGTAAAATCAAGAGAGGCAGGTGACGGCAAGCCAAGGGGAGGTGGGGGAGCCAGATGCCATGCAGTGAAAGGAGAACGCAGGAGCCCACACCTTTGCACGCCGCACACATGGTATTGGGGGAAGGCCCAAAGCCCTTTAAGGTGGATCAAACTCCAGGCAGAGGCCTCTGCCCTCAATCTCAGTAGCAGCATGTGGCCAGGAGAAGAGAGACTGACCTTGTTATATTTAGCGCTAAACTCTAAAACTCCCAGGGAGAATATAGAGCCTGAACCTCTTGTGAAACATCTTAAGTTTCTCCTGACATCCTTGGGGGGGCTAGATATACTGATTCAAGAAAAAAGCAACAAGCTTCCCAGGGACATTTTAATTGCCCAGATGAGCTACAGCTGCACAACAGGCTCTTAAGAGGGGACATTTGTGGAAGGGAAGGCAAAAGCCAGCCAAGGTTCCCAAGCTGAAGAAGTCCGTCTGGGTTATTTACACTCACACCCTTGAGGCTGACTCTACTGGGATCTTGTTGTTAAACTTACCAGAGAGTACAAATACAGCCTGGATGATAAAAGTTAAACCACCAAGACAACCTAAAACAATGGTTCTCAAACTTCAGGGAGGCTAAGAATCACCCTGGGTGCTTGTTCAAAATGCCGATTCCTTACCTCCCCAATGCCATTTTAAAAAGCGGAGGATGACACTAAGGAATCTGCATTTTAACAGACATTCCAGGTGATCCTAACAGAGGGGTCCACACCTTGATGACCCCTAAAAAACATGACACGATACATTCTTTCTGTCCTTTGGAAAACCGACTTCGTTTTAATATTCCAGTACAAATGAAGACACACCTCAACACGAGTATTCCCCAAGGTTTAGTCCTCAGACCTCTCTCTGCTTAACTGTCCTTTCCTCAAGAAAGACCATCTAGTCTTTAAAGAATCCCATGACAAATACATGAGCACCTACCCTACCTGAGATACTGTGTCTTCACTCCTATCCTGGCATCCGACTTCCAACGACCACAGCCCTGAATGCCAGTTGTGATTCCGCCGGTGCCAGCTAACCCTGCCCACTAGGCTGAACGCCCCCGTGTCACGAATGGGTCTGTCTTGTCACCACTGTAGACCCAGGCTACTAACTGGCACACAGCAGGCATTTAATGAATATATAGTGGATACATGAATGAAACACTATGGATTATTCTCCCTGTGCAATGAAAGGAGAATGAATCAACCTCAATATGTTTATAATCCAATTTGCTACATTTTCCTTCCCAAAAACCTGGTTGCTCTTCCCAGCTTCCTTATGTCTCTGAAGAGAACTACCTTCCATCAACCAAACCTAAGTTTGTTTCATCTTTTAATCTTCCACTGTCATTAGGAGACCTCTGTCATCATCATTGAGCCATGCTGTGTACCCACTGCGGCTAAATTCTACGCATGGACTAGGTCACGCTGCCCTCACTAAACCCTGATAATGTGGCCTCGCTCTGCTCCCACTTCACAGGTGCGGCAATTTACACAATCCCCACAGGACCCTGCGAGGGAGACACATTATCACTGACATTACACAGACGAGGAAACAAGCACAGAGAGATTAGGCAGCTTGCAAAACTAGTAAGAGGTTGCAAAACTAGTAAGAGGAGGTGGAATTCTAACCCAGATCCATGTGGCCCAATCTGAGTTCTAACTGCCACGCACAGTCCTCACAGGTATGGATTTATGTTTCAAAGCTGCTGGTCCAGGGCCTGAATTCCCCGACAAATCCTCCCAGGAGATCACCCTTCGCTCTCACCTCCCTCAACCTTGTCTCCAGTTCCAGCAGCCGATTCTTGTCACTGTGGTCTTGGTGGCTGATTTTCTCCAGCTGTTCTTCCAGCTTCCGGTTCTGGGCCTCCAATTTCCCAGCCTGTGTCTCCAGGTAAAATTTCTGTTGCCTGAGTTCAGAAATCATCTCTTCTTGGGCCTTCCTGGTGGGCGTGGTGGGAGGATCCAAACAAAAAAGAGTCTCATTAGAGTTGAGCACGTGCCCCAGCAAGGACAGACAGAAATGGAGGGAGACGTGGGTCTTCATTAAGTGGATGATGGCCATTCCCGGGTTAGCTCCGTCCCGATCTGGCCTCATAGGCGTGATCCCGGCACAGGGAACCTGAGGAACATTCAGCTGTCACCACTCACAGTAACTCACCTATGAGATTAAGTATGTTCAAGGGGGATGCAAGAGATACTAAGATTTCACTCCTCTGATGGACCTTTTTATTTTCCTTTGAGAGCCTATGTAGGGGAGCAGAAGGGGCCTCTTAGAGTACTGGAGAAGGGTGCCCCAATAATTCATTAAGGCAGGCCCCAGGGAAGAGGAGCAACAAGGAGAAAGAATGCTATTCTGGAGCTGGGTGCAGTGGTGCATGCCTGTAGTCCCAGCTAATCAGGAGACCAAGGTGGGAGGATCGCTTGAGCCCAGGAGTTCAAGGCTGCAGTGAACTATGATCGCACCACTGCACTCCAGCCTGGGGGACAGAGCAAAACCTCATCTTTAAAAAAAAAAAAAAAAGAATGCTATTCTTTCTAGTTCTCTGTAGACCTTGCTCACCTCTCCACCAATCTGCTTAGAAGAATCAAAAACAAGAAACACTCAGAGACCAAAAAGCAGCCTCTACCAAGCCGATTTAGATTAAGGTGGCAATGTTTTAGAAGACCTCTGAAGAGAGAAACCTTAAGGGGAAAAAAATCCTGGAGATTGTAATTCTTTAAGATGAAAATCAAAGTCCTCCTGGAACACGGATAGTCCTTGCTGAACTCCAAACTTCCTCCCCAGGGCCTAAACCAGTGACAGCAAAACAGATGGCCCAATTGGGCACACACTGATCACCTCTTACTATGCACGGGAGGCAAGTCTGGGGAACAAAGACTTCAGCTTTCCAAAAGCAAATTATAAATAGCCTTATTAGAAAGAGCAAAACATTCTATAATCTGATGATAATTTGAGGCATTTAAGAAACCTGACTCGAAAGAAAAGGACAAGGCAGAGTGGGACCACTTAAGACAGGGCAAGATGACGCTAAGTCTCCAAGGGCTAGGCCGAGCTACACAAGTCATTCGATCCACTCCAGCTCCACCAGACAGATGGTAATGGAGTTTGTGCCCCAGGAGAGAAGACCAAAGTGTAATAATGTAGGCATTTAGAATTTAAATACTTACATGTTCCTTTGGGTAAAAAGGCTGCTGTTGGCCGCAAGTTTGTTGGCTTCAGACAGTTCCACAATCCTCTGTTCCAGGGATCTGATCTTGGAATCCATAGCATTGATCATCTGAAACACAGGGCAGCTGTGAAACCTCACGCAGAGACAGTTACACCAGTCCGAGAGTGCTGAGGTCCACAGGGGCCAGGGTAAGAGTCTCGACTGAAATGTCAGCATTTTGGCCAGAGGTAACAAGAGACTCAACCAGTCTTCCCCCTGGGGTACCGCTCCAATGGATGGTACTAGGGTGTTTTTTCAGAGATTAAACATCCCCACGCTAGCTAAGTGGCTTGCATTAAAAACACACAGAAAGTCCTAGTCTGGTACCCAGCATCCTGCAAGTGAGAGGTCTGCTTAAACGCCCGTGTCCTCTGCATGTGACCTGAGCCTGTAGGAGCCTCTCACTTGAATTTGCAAGTTCACATTTATCATCACCCATAGAGTTGTCATTTTCTGAGTGATTCCTTCTCACCCAGCCATCATCGTTCTAGATTTTCTACATCAAAGTTTCCCCAACTTAATGAATCATATGAATGGTTAAAAATATAACTTCCCGGGACCCTCCCTTTGAGATTCTGCTGTGGAAAGTCTCAGCGAGGTGCATATTAACAAGCCCCGTGTGAGCAGCAAGTTTCTGAAACAACTGCCTACATGGGTTAGGAAAGAGAGAGACAGGCAAGTGCAAAGAAGAGAAATGCAAGAGGACTGAGGGCCACTGGGCATCGTGTCAGGGGCATTCTGAAGGACAACATTCTAGCAGATGGCAGATCAGCAGGCATTCTTGAAGAGGAGCACAAAAGAGCACAAAGCTGGCCACCCTGAGCTGACACCTCCGATACTTTTAGCGGGGAGGAAGCAGCATCTAGAGAAAGCTTCCTATGATCAACCAACTCCACAGGATTAAACTGAAAGAAAAATTCACCCAAGGAAACAGGATTTTCTCAGGTGTGGGATTATCGGCACATTTCAAAAACCCTCCTTTACAAATTGGCTTTGTGACGACTTATACCTACCGCCTTCTGCTCGCTGAGAATTTTGCCTTTCTCGTGGGCCTCCTCCTCGTGTCTCTGCATCATATTCTCCAGGGTCTCCTTATCGGCCAGGTCTTTCTTTATCTGATTGTCCAACACCTACAGAAACAAAGGAAGCAGTGAATGTTCTCGAGAGCAAAGCTGAGCAGGGAAGACAGAACAGGGGCACCTGAGAAAATGCTGGAAACGGGGAAGAAAGCAGTGGAGAAACCCAAGGTCTCCAAACTCTGGGGCAAAGAGAAGACAGAAAATGGGGGTCTCTTTATCAGCTGGGATAAGATTAAGAAGGCAGTATTACCATTAAAAGGCAAGAAACAGGTGGACCTGAACTAAGAACTTACTTTAAAAGCAGCGGCCAAAAAGACCAGAGAGATACATCCAAAATGAGGTAGACCCCAGAATGACAGGGGGTAAAAACGATCTCTCTAGTGATCTAGAGAATAAAGTTCTCATAATCTGTAGATTTTACCTGGGGACACCTTTTTCTTAGCCATGCACCAGTAGTTTTCAGAACATTCTTTGCTCCTAATGTGAAAAAATTAATTCTAGCTACTCCTGGGCTGTGTGCAGAGAGAGAGAAGCTGGAGACAGAGAAAGTCTGTGTGACCGAGGCTGATGTTCAGAGACAACCAGGGACAAGAGGATTTTGCCCACCAATAACGGATATAGACAGTCAATTGACTGAAAAGACAACATAAAAGAAAAGAAAAAATATGCCTCTTTCCTCCGTTCTTTCAGGTAATCCAGCCAGGAAAAAAATAAGCTACTGGGAAGAGAAACCTTTCCCAGGGGAAGAGAAATCATGTGTTCTCGGAGCTGAGAACACCACTGTAAGCACCTACTGTTCCCAAGAGAAAAAAAATAAAACAGTAATGGTGTCACCAACCACCAGCTTGATCTAATGTTCTCTGAGGCACACACAGCCCCGGCAGTTGCCAAAACAACAAGCACAAATGGAAGCAAAAAGGAAGACAACATAACTTGGCAGAGCCTTTGACCACAGCCCTGTGGTTCTCATCACAGAGAATCCGTTCTGCTTTTCCGAATGACACCAACCACATCAAGAAGGACACCAGGATATTGGGGATAAAGCTGAAAGAATTGAGGTCACAGATGGGATTGAAATCTGCCTTTCCCACAATGTCTATTGTGAAAGGACCTTCACAGCTCATGGGGACATCATCCCTAAAAAAGAGCCAGTCAGCAGGGACGGGTCCACATGACAAAGGGAGGAAAGAACGGATTTCAAACAGGGCTTTAAACTAAAACCGACTGATGAGAAAAATAGAATGGGAGTTGGTAGAGAAGACCAAAAGGTGGGAACAGGGTCATAAGAGAAAGGAAAAAGCTCAATAAGATGAGAAGTGGCCCACTCTCTGGGATCTCTGAGTGTGATTCTAAAATTATGAGCGAGAACAGGGTAGAATCTAGGGTATGATTATAACTATTACCGAAATGGCCTGAGAGAGGCTGGAACAGGGAACACAAAGCAGAAAAGGCTAAAAAGAAATGGTTTTATAAAGATTGCAGTCAGAAAGACAAAAGGAAACAGATCTTTCCCAGACATTTCTTGAGGTCTCTAAAACAAAGTTTTTTCCATCTGGAAGGTAGCAGAGACCGTGTAATATCTAGACCTGGTATGCTTTTTCTTTTTTTTTTTTTTTCCTTTTAAACGAGGTGCTAAAGCAATGAACTCCATTTTCAGGATTCCTCTGCTCAAAATAAGATCTCAACCTTGGCAGTGATGGATACCAGTAAGAGGGAAGTGTGGGCTGGAAGAGACAAGCCTCTATCAAGAACATATGCATCTCTCGGATTTCACAGGGTTCAACCGGCAGGAGAATGAACAAGAAGATGTATGGGGGAGGGAGCGAAGCGATGAGTTTGCCTGAAATGAGGGATTCCACCGAAGACATCTAAATCAATTTAAGTTAAAACACGGACTTTGACAGAAACGTCAATATAATCACCCAAATCACAAAATGGGTTTTACAAAGAGTTATTTGCATCATGCAAAAGTGCCAGTGGACTACTGTATGCCTTCTCATTATTTTCTGAAAATTAGTTTATGCCAAAGATAAAAGTCTGGAAGCCAATAAGTATTCAAATCAAAAGGATTAGTTTATAAAGTTTAAAATGCACTGAAGTAGGGGGTCATGTGACTTTTGAGTTATTTTCCTGTATTTCTTTTAGTGAGAAACAACACCAGGGGTAAAAGAGGCCAGGGTGATGATGACGGTGATACTTTGTAAGCATGCACGTGTTTGGTTCTCTAAGAAAGGACCACTCAACTTTGAGAATATCAACCAAATCAATAACAAGATAATAAAAATGAAAAACCTCCTTTAATGTCTGATTGGGAAGAAGAGACAATATTTGAGATATAATAACCAATATCTGATTCTTAAGAACTTAAGAATGATGTAAATCCTAATGAAAATGTGATGTGATTTTAAAAGGAAATCGAGAGGTTGGCATCCATTCCTGATAATATAGTGAGCTAGATGTCAGGTTAGCCCTTCTAACAAAAGTGATTTAAAATGCTAAATAAGCCAGGCGCGGTGGCTCATGCCTGTAATCCTAGCACTCTGGGAGGCTGAGGCGGGCGGATTGTTTGAGCTCAGGAGTTTGAAACCAGCCTGAGCAAGAGCAAGACCCTGTCTCTACTAAAAATAGAAAGAAATTAATTGGACAACTAAAAACATATAGAAAAAATTAGCCAGGCATGGTGGCGCATGTCTGTAGTCCCAGCTATCGGGAGGCTGAGGCAGAAGGATTGCTTGAGCCCAGGAGTGTGAGGTTGCTGTGAGCTAGGATGACGGCACAGCACTCTAGCCCAGGCAACGGAGCAAGACTCTGTCTCAAAAAAAAAAAAAAAAAAAAAATGCTAGATAAAATATGGAAACCATTTTTCCAAAAGCACTTACAAGTTGGCAAGAGAATAAGAAATTACAAACCAAAATATGAAGTGAAAATAGAATCAGGGTAAGATTAAAGAGTACGAAGCTCTTTTTAACCTGAAACATTTACTGAACAAAATAAACTTGAGCTTCAGTTTTGAAAGCCTCAAAGATCGGCCGGGCACGGTGGTTCACGCCTGTAATCCTAGCACTCTGGAAGGCCAAGGCGGGAGGATCGCTTGAGCTCAGGAGTTCGAGACCAGCCTCAACAAGAGCGAGACCCCATCTCTACTAAAAATAGAAATTAGCTGGACGACTAAAAATAGAAAAAATTAGCTGCATGTGGTGGTGCGTGCCTATAGTCCCAGCTACTCGGGAGGCTGAGACAGGAGGATTGCTTGAGCCCAGGAGTTTGAGGTTGCTATAAGCTAGGCTGATGGCACAGCACTCTAGCCCAGGCAACGGAGCAAGACTCTGTCTCAAAAAAAAAAAAAAAAGAAAGAAAGCCTCAAAGATCAAGAAGAGTCAGAAATCAAAGCCCAGGGTCCCCCAAGGTAGATATACATTTTCATCCAATGCCTCAAAGAACTCCCATTAATAATTTTCCAAGGAAAATAAATAGCTTATTAAGCACACAAAGGGAAACAGGCACCATGACAAAGAACCAAGAGAAACAACAGAGCAGAAACAGACCTTCAAATACTCCAAATATTGGAATTATCAGACACAGATCATAAAACAACTATGTTTGACACATTTAAAGAAATAAAAGGCCTTAAAATGAAAGTAGAGAGTAAAAAATCGTCTTAAATAACCCAGTAAACTTGGGAAAGAACCAAATAGAATGTCCAGAAAGAAAAAATATAATAACTAAAATTTAAAACCCAATGTATGAGTTTAACAGATTAGACACAGCTAAATTAGTAAACTGGAAAATAAGTCAGAAGAACTTACCCAGAATGTAGCATAAAGAGACAAAAAATGGAAAATATGAAAAAAGGATAAATTGGAGGTGATCTAACACACGTCCAATCAAATTCTTGAAAGGAAAGGAAAGAGAGAGGAGGAAGAGACAATATTTGAGATATAATGACCACTAATTTTCTGGACTTAATAAAAATACGAATCTATTCAAAAATAGTTTCGAATCTATTCAAAAGCCCAGTAAATCTCAGTCAAGCAGGACAAAGGAAAAGAAATCCATGTCTAGATATATCACAGTTAAGCTTCAGAAAAATTAAAGACAAAGTAAAATTTTAAAGAAAAAGCCAAAGAAAATGGATAGATTACATACGGCCGCCAACTTATAATTTTTTGACTTTACAATGGTTTTATCAAGACATAAGCCCATCACAAGTCAAGGAGCATCTGGACTTAATTAACAATGGTTTAACTTACGATTTTTCAACTTTACAATGGGTTTATCTGGACATAACCCCATTCGTAATCAAGAAGCACCTGTACTTTCAACATTAGCAATGGTTAGACCAACAGCTGACTTCACAATGGCAATACTAAAAGCCAAAAGTCAATGGAATGCTATCTTCAAAGAGTGTTATGAGAAATTAACTGCCAACCTAGAATGATATCCCCAGATAAAACCTCTTTCAAGAATGAGGGTGAAATAAAGACATTACCAGACAAAAAAAAAAACAAGAGAACTTGTCACAGGTGACTCTTCACTAAAGAAAGTTCTCACAGTTATACTTTAAACAAAAGGAAAAGGATTCCAGGTCTGAGATGCAGGAAGAAAATTTAAAGCAAAAAATGTGATGAATGTATGGCTAAATCTAAATGATTGTGGACTGAATGATGATGAGTTTAAAAAAACATTTTAAACATGGAATTGAGATAAATGATGACCAATTTTTTAAATTTTTTTTAACTTCAGATTTCCAATATATTTCCAATACATAAATAACACCCCGAAATCTCCCACCATGGAGACAGGACAGCATTTACTCCTTTGGGCTAGCAAGAAGTGGCCAAAAGTGCCCAGCAAGAGAGGGAAGCTATGCCAGGGAAGATCAGAAAGTGTCTTTACTTTAATTTTTTCCTCATAGTGTTGCTCTTTCTGTTTCAGGTGCACCTCCAGGTGCTGAGCTGAGACTTGGGCCTCCCGGTGTTTCTCCTCCAGCTCCTGGACACAAAAGAAAAGACGGTCAGGTGTGCAAAGAGAAAGGCATAGTCAATGTATGCTAGACATTCACAGGAAACATGACTTTGGTACAGGCACCACAGGTAACAGGCATCTGGTCTTCCATTACTAGGGCTAGTAATGGCCCTAAGGCTTTCTTGGGAAGAAAACCACCACCATGCCTTGGCCCTGGGTCTTCCAAGTCCAAGTATTCACACACATATACACACACAGCTGGTGGGCTGTGAGGCCTGGGACCAGAAACATGTCAGCATGACAGGTCAAACAAAGGCAGCTCTTCATCTTTGCATAGAGAAATAAGAGTAACAAGACAACATTTGCAAGTTTAGTACAGCACAAAATCCCTGACCACTGTCTTAAGCCTCAGGCCGTTTTTCACTGTGATGGCAGCCTCAAATGAGAAAAGTAATTTTAATTTATTATTAGGATAAAAAATATTTTGTATTTTCCTCATTGACAAAATTATTGCTCAAGAACCCTAGCTAAATAGGGAAACTTCAAGTTTTGAATGATTATTTTAACTGACTGGTAATTGGAGTATGTGAATCTCTGGAGATATGTATGTTATGTAATGTTTTATACAATACAACGATAATGGGAACAAAGCCAAACGTAAAATACACGGATAATGATGACATAAAAATGTACACATACATATTAAAGATCGGAAGAGAAACTGGAGTGACATAAATAACTCAAATTTAATGTTCTTTTAGTACTTTTATTGCTAAGTTTTCTGCTTTTAAACAAAATTGTAATTCACTTGAAAATTATAGCAATTCATTTGCCAATGTGTTATAAAACTGATCTTATAAAAGGCAGCATTCAATTTACTAAAACATTCTCTAAAAGCACAGATAGCTGTATCTATATTAATTCTTATAAATCTGGACCCATCTGTTAATTACTAATATCAAAAGTCATTACTCCAAGTTTTCATCTCTTCACACTGTTGTGAAATTTTTCTTTGAAGTGGAAGTAATTATGAGAATTTTGAAGAATGAGGAAATTATACAGGATATGTCCATAAAACAGGATGAAAAAATTACTTTGAGATTCACATGCACAAAAAATGTTAGTGATGAAGCTTTTGAAATTCTAATGTCTACAAGCAGTGGCTTTGTTTTGGGGGCCATTAAAGTGTTAAGACCAGGTGCACAAGATGTACTGCAATCTAACAGATGTGATCTTGAAAAGTTGAATGTAAACAGGATTTTAATTAATAAAAACACATTTTAAAGGGCTTTGTGTGTACTCAGCTAAAGTATCCCCTGAAATGACTTCTTTTATTAAAGCGAAAGACTTTGTTGCAATGAGAGTCCCAATTATCTGTTTTGAAAGTTCTTATCAGGAATATCAACTATTTTAAAACCAATGACAGTTGGGGGTCTATTTCCAACTAACATCATCCTATAATAGTATTAAGGACCACTCTTTGCCTATGTCCTAGATGCTTTGCAGCGTAAGCACAGGGTTCTTGAGCAAAAGGCACCTTCTGATAAATGAAGTCACAACCACAAAGATAGTCAGGCAGGTGGCAAGCTACATTCGGACAAAGAAATCCGCTTATTTTTCCTTTGTGTTAGAAATCACTTCATAATCATCTTTTTTTAGTTTCAGTTCTCATAAGATAGCACAGGAATGGAAATCAGAATCTAAAAATAGGCCAAAAACTCAAATACTTGAGGCTGACAATGTTAAGACCAAATTTCTGGTCTATATACAAATGGGAGTTTACAACACATAATCCAAGAATGCAGAACTCTCTACTCCTACATTTTAATTGTAAGTGAACCTTTGGAAAAGCAGATATTCTAAAATCTGACATCCTGGTGGTATTTTTTGTTGTTGTTGTCATTTTTTTAAACATATCTTTTCTATATGTACTGGATCAACTCTTCAGTCCTGATTTGCAAACACTGTTGTTCACTGCTATACTTCCAGCTCCTAGAACAGTGCCTGGCACATAGTAGAAGCTCATTAAATATTTATTGAATGAATGAATGAACACATCACCATTAAACAGAGAAACATTTTGCAACCACAAGAGAGTTAACCACTTTGTTTGTACCAAGCAAGGGAGGGACAGCAGTGGTGGGATCTCAGTGGGATCTAATTTTACTCACGATAAAATTCACACACTTGACAATAGCCAAGAAAAACTTGGATGACGAAACGAGAGAACAGAAAGGGTAGACTAACAGTCACATCTCCTTTGTGTGCAGACATGTATATGAAGACTGAGGGTCAAAGCAAAACAATTTAACCAATTCCTTTGTTGCCCTTTTGTTCAAGAACATCCATATATTTATGAATATACACAAAAACGGAAATATAAAGTTTTGAAGGGTTTGGATTTGGTTGGGTTTGGTTTGGTATTAAGCATAGGTCTGTAAGTTGGCCCTTGTTGAACTCATATAGTTGCTGGTGACTCATTTCCCGGAAGTGATGCAGAGAGAGAGATGTGGCAGCCTGCTCACCACTTCACCTCCTTATGGTGCAGAGGAATGGCCAACGACTTCTGAATCTCTCCCAGGGGCAGGACACGAAATGGACTCCAGGTCATCAGTAAGTCTCTCAAATGTGACGTCAAATTTCTGACTTTGGGACTGAGATCCAAGGAGAGCCCTCCAAAGGTGCTGCTTTCTACCCTGGTAGGGGCAAAACTTCAACACATCTGCAAGTACCACCCGAGCCTTCCTTGATTAGGTTACTTTGGTCATCAGAGCCTGGGACAAAATCAGGATGATTACAGGTCGGAAAAAAAAGACCTGCTACATCTAAGGAAATTGAAAAAAATAATAATAATAATAACCAACGGTAGCAGAGAAAGTGAGTGGGTGAACATGGATCCATGACAAATACTACTCTGAGAAAAACAATTCTGTATGACTAATTTCTTTCTTCTCCAAAAGCAAAAATCTGGGTTTTGATCTTAAAGGTCTAAACTCCTGCAGCTTTTTTTAAAAGTTGGCATTGCAAAGTTAACGGCCATCCAAAGCTCTGCTGATAGAAGTATGTCAATGCTCCTACAAAAATGTATCAAAAATGATAGAGGCATGTTCTACTTTAAAAAAATGCCAGGTTGTAGCAAACAGAGCAAAAAAAATAATATTTATGGATCTGTTACCAGTGCTGAAATGTCCAACATTTGTATTCAGACTGTTCTACGGTGTGGTGTACACTGCAACCACCTCTCTTGATTCATCTACTTGGTGATACCTCCCCTGTTATGGCGTTTAACTCTTCTTACCCCCTTCCCTTTGCAACCTCTAACCTGTTAGCTTTTAACTTTTCGACTTTCGTTCCTGCTCACCAGAATTTTATCAGCCATCTGCTGGATCTGTTGGGATTTTGTCTGGATGTCATCCTTCAGTCTGTTTTCTCTACGCTCCATGGTCTCTAGTCTCTTTACCTTGTTCTCCAGAGAATGGCGGCGTTCCTGTAGATCATGAATCAATCAGAGAGTTTTAATGGAGTAACCGCTATGGGCGTAACAGCCTGCATGGAGGGAAAGAGCCCTCGAGAAGCATACACGTGAGTCAGGAAGAAAAGTCTCAGGCACCTGAAGCAACAGCGGAGAAAATAAGGCTCTATAATTCAGGTACTCAGTTGTGTGGGTTACAAGAGTGCATTCATTCATTCAAATATTTACCAAGCACCTACTATCTGCAAAGTACCACACTAGGCATTACAGAAAATACAGAGAGGGAGATGACATAATTCCTGCCCTTGGAAAAGATAAGGTGAATGCAAATAAACACAATACAGGTTAAGAGGAGGAAGAACCACAAAGATACAAAGTGGTGTGGGAGGCTACAGCCAGGGAAGAGGACTTTTAACTGAACAGCTGAGAAGAGGCATCAGAGAGGTATGAGCTCTGGAGAGGGATGGTGCATGGTGGTTTGGAGTGGGAAGGGCAGGAGAAGAAGATGAAAGATGTTTCAGACAAAGGGAGGCACATTAGCAGAAACATGGAGGGGGTCAAGAGCCAGTTTGGGCCCCAGGTGAAGCCTAAGAATGGCTACAGCACAGGACACATTGGGGGAGGAGCGGGTGAAAGGAGGAAATGGTTGCCGTCGCAAGTCCAGTGGTTGAGGGTCTCATGTCCCAGGCTCAGGGGTGCACCTAAGCACTATGAAACCTCTGAAAGGTTTGGGATGGGGCAGGGAGTCCTGAGGAACCTGGGGATTGGGGTCCGTGAATCTTACACTGCGTGAGCTAGATCATGAGCTAGATGGAAAGAAAGAAAGACTAGAAGCAGAAGGTCAAGAAATTACTAGATTTGCTCAGCTAAGAGGAAGAGGGCGTGGCCTAAGAGGAGGCAAGCAGGAGATGAACAGGAGAGACAGTACGGCTGCATTTATAGGACCAAGGGACTCACTGAATAGCAGGGTCCAAAGAAAAGCAGATGACGCTAAGGTTTCAAGCCAGGGTGACCAGATGAATGGTGGCCCGGCATGGGGAAACTGAGAAGGGAAACTGGCTTCAAGGGGAAGAGACCGAGCTCTTCTAAATCTGATGCACTGTTCAGACAACCCGTTGGAATTTTAGGGGAACAGGGAGAAACACAGCCTGGAATGTGGAGGAGGATGGCCCCAAACAACACGTACCAGTAGGTTCCCACCAAGACTGTGACAAGGAAAAGCAAAAGACCCAGCAACAGGAGGGTAAAATCGAATATGGAACATCCCTTCTGTGTCACAAACACAAGGGACTGGAGGCAGTGGAAAGAAGTAAAGGAGAAGTGTTACTTTTTATTCTATACTCTTCTGTACTGTTTAGGCTTTTCACAATGAAAAGGCGCTCATGTATTTCCAGTATAATTATATAAATGATTTCAACAACAACAACAACAAAGAATTTGAGGGAGAGAAGAGGCCCAAAAATACAGATCTGAGAGTCATCGGCACACAGGTAACAGGTGAAGCCTTGGAAATTAACACATTATTGTATTAGCTTCCTGGGTCGGAAAGGCAAGGAAAACAAAGGGAAGAAAAAGAAAACCTCAGAGATAGAGTTACGGTTAACCTGTGTAAATAGAAACTCTCCCGGATTAGCGAGTAGGCCAGTGGAAAACAAACAGACAGGAAAAGCTTTTATCAAGACATCTTTCCACTTGAAGCTGCTGTGACAGATCCTTCTTTCCCCTTGGGGGAAAATGTCTCCAAGCCTCTCAAGTTTCAAAGGGAGCTTCAGAAAGGAAAAGCAGTTTGGTCAAACACAAGCAAGTGATGGTTTTGCGGTTTCTTTCCCTTGGTGCGGCCTCACCGGGCCGGAGCTGGAAGGTCCCTGCTCACCTCGGCTTCCGCCAGCTTTTTTCTTATGCCTTCAGAGGAATCTTCACGGTTCTGCAGCTTCTCCAGCTCCCTCTCAGCGCGCTCCTTGGCCTGGCGGATGTTCTGCAGCAGCTCGGTGGCCTCTGTGCTGGCTTTGACGGCCTATGAGGAGAGAAGGAACAGGAGAAGGTGGTCCTATTGACTCATGTAAAAGGATGGTGACCACATCCTGAACAGAAAAGGCAGGTTACACTGAGTATATATGTTATGGCCATTTGTCAAAACATAAACATTCATTTTATTCTGTATTTTATCTATTCTAATGTATACTTTTTTTAAATTATGGAATGCATCCTATAATTAGAATTGATGCCTTTTTCTTTTTGGGGGGTTTGTAAGATAAGAGTGTATCTGACAATCATTAATTAGCATCTTTGATGCCACAACACAGTGAATGGAAACAAGAAGATCTAGATGGATTGATCTACCCAGGAATTAATGTATTCGTGTCTCTGAGCATGAATTTTTTCCTTAGTTATCTGATTTGTTAATTTTCCTATGGGGAATTTGTACAACTTCTATAAGAAGAAAATAAAAGCTATAATTTAACTTTTTTAAAAAAATAAATACCTTTCAGAGGTTATGAAAGCCATAGTGTTCATGATAATTCACAAATCCATGTTTAAAAAAAATAGCCAAACCTCTTGAAGTTAAGTTCGTATTTGTTAACTTTTATTTAGGTCTTAGCTGTAGTACAGCTCTGTGGCACTATAGTAAAGATCTGTGTTCATGAGGCCAACAACCTCACATTTATTTGCTTTAAATTAAAATTTTAGAAAGTGAAAACTGCAAGAAAGCTCCAACTTTAAGACCTGTACTGTCCAATATGGAAGCCACTAGTCACATGTGGCCACTGTGCACCCAAAATGTTGCTGAGAAATCAATTTTTTTAATTTTATTTTTAAGTTAATGTTAATTATTTTAAGTTAAATTTGTTTAAGTTATTTTAACTTAATTTTTAATTTTATTTAGTTTTAATTAATTTAAAAACTGAGGCAGTATAATAAGTATAGTAATATTGACATGTACCATAATGATAATATTTTGGATATACTGGATTAAATAAAATGTATCATTAAAATGACTTCCCCTGTCTCCTTTTGCTTTTTTTAATGTGGCCACTAGAAAATTTTAAATTACACCTGTGGCTCACATCACACTCCTGTTGGAGAGCACAGTTCTGGATGAAAACATGCTTCCTCTCATAAGCTTCTAGCTGAAAGAAGGCCATGAAGGCTTTCCTTAGAGAGCTCAAGAATAAGTAAGAAGGAGACATATGAATGCATAAACATAAATGTGCTTTATACATACAATGGAATATTATTCAACCTTAAAAAGGAAATTCTGATGCATGCTACAACTTGGATAAAACTTGGGGACACTATTTTAATTGAAACAGGCCAGTCACAGAAAAGTCAAATACTGTACAATTCCACTTATATGTGGTATATAAAGTAATCAGAACTGTAGAAACAAAAAATAGCAAAGTGGTTGCCAAGGGGGAGAAGTGGAATTAGTGTTTGTTGGTCATAGAGTTTCAGTGTTACAAGACGAAAATGTTCCAGAGATCTATTGCCCAACAACGTGAATACACTTGGCACTACTGAGCTACACACTGAAAAATGGTTAAATGGTACTTTAATGTTATGTGTTTTTTACCACAATTTAAAAACAAGAAAAGAAAGAAGGAGCTTTATTAAACCAAGCCAGCAAACATAGTCACAAACATTCTTGATGTAAAAGGCATGTCCCAGACACCACATTTATTCTGGCTCTTTCATAAGTATTTGCACTATTCAACTAAAGGAAGGGCTTGAAGATTGCTAAGAGGGGCCGGGCATGGTGGCTCATGCCTGCAATCCCAGCACTTTGGAAGGTCAAGGCAGGAGGATAGCTTGGGGCCAGGAGTTCAAGATCAGCCTGGGAAACATAGTGAGACCCCATCTCTACAAAAAAATATTTTTTTAAATTAGCTGGGCATGGAGGCGTGCCCTGTAGTCCCAGCTACTTGGGAGGCTGAGGCAGGAGGATCAGCTGAGTCCAGGAGTTCAAGGCTGTAGTGAGCTATGATCACGACACTGCACTCCAGCCTACATAACAGAGCAAGACCCTGTCTCTATTTTTAAAAAAATTGCTAAGAGATTCGATCTTAAATGCTCTCACCACAAGAAAATGGTAAGTATGCAACGTGATGGATACGTTAAGTGGTTTGATTTAATCATTTCACAATGTAGACATGCATCACACTGTATGACACAATTATGTACAATTTTTATGTCAACTATACCTTAATAAAGCTAGGTGGGTGAGAAATAAGTAAACAAAAATTTAAAAAAATAAGTAAAGGCAGGGCCATTAGCACACACTTTGCAGGATGCTCTAAACCAAACCCACCCCCTCCCCAAGCACATGACTCCACAGATCCTCCGACCATCCTCTGGGCAGGTGTGCTGCCGTGGAGTTTCTGACTGCCAGCAGTCTGGGTTGTGAACTGCTTCTTTTACAAATGAGCAAAATGAGGCGCCGGGCCCCCTGAGGCAAGAGAAGCCGGCCTCTTGGGTTCTGTTGTAGTATAATTAGAACTTTTACTTGAGCGTCTCACACAGCTTGGTTTTTAAAAATAAACACTGCTGACACGTCTCAAAAGAAAAAACTATATTCAGAACTCTGATATTTTCAGGTAATAGCTCACTCCCCCTTCTTTTTCCTCAGCACAGGGTGACTAATTCTGTCTCTTTCATCTTTGGTGCCCCGGGACAAGGCAAAGAAAGGTATTTGGATATAGGGGTAAGTTCCCAAAAAACCACCTCGGGCTCACCTTTTCCAGCTTCTCTTGGAGCTCCTGAATTTTGAGCTGCTGCTCAGCATTGATCTATAATTAAAATCCCGGGAAATAAAGCAAAAGGCAAATCAGCATTAACATCTTGCTACGTTTATTGCAGTCCTATTTTCTCAACGTTTCTGTGGGGTCTTTTGTTTCGTTTTCCAGAACTTACTAATGGAATGAAGAACAGTGGCCTATCAGAAAAGTCTTTAAATGTCCCAGTGCAAACCCCCACATCGATTATTTCTTTAGGACCAGCAACATACAAATGGCAAAAAGAGAAGCAAAGTCACCTAGTGCCTTAAGACAATAAGAATTTCCACATGTCTTTTACTAAGTGTCTGGGTTTATTGGTTACTATGAGCAGGCATGATAAAAAATGAGGCATCTTCCAAAAGAGCAGAAGAACGGGATCCATTCGTACTCACCTTCAAATTGGTACTAACTGATCAGCACTAGGTTGATCACATGGCAGAAATACTCTCTAGGGATTAGGGGGATGGGGGGCAAATCTACAACTAAAGGACACGGGGAACACTAAAGGCAGGGAAGGGCATGCCTTTAACCTGCATTTGGGTGAAGCAAAGACATAAAGTGTAACTATAATGTTTGTACCCTCACAAAACCCTGGAATAATAAATAAATAAAAAAAAAATGAGGCATCTTTTATCTCTTTTAGAACCACAGCTGAAGCTAAAACTTGGTCATCTGGAGGTGAACCATCAACTAAGCTTCGAAGAGAGGTCTCTATTCATTGCAAGAATATTCTTAATCAATGACAGGCCACTGGTAATAACATGACAAAAATTATCTACCCAAAATAGTAAAACTGATCGTGGAAAATATACCTTCTCCAGTTTGGAATATTCTCCTACTTCAGGCTTCCCTTGATCCTTAGACTGTAATTAAAAAGACACAACATATTGAGAAATCTCAACAACCTAAAAAGTCTCGTAGACAACACTACCTGTTGTACCCTCTTGGTCTCTGGGACCAAAATAATAATAAATAAGAATAATGTTATCTTCTATCAAGAAAGACCAGAGTTTTCCAAGATATCCATTATTTATTTCTCAAACCTATACTCATTAAGCTTTCTTCCCTTTTTTCTTGCTACGATCACCCATGATTTTACCCAGATTGCACCCTCCTGGAGGGCGGTCAATTACCTTCAACAGCTTATGCTGACACTCTGTTGCTTTCCGCTTGAACTCTTCCGCGGCGAGCCGAGACTCTCTCAGCTCCGACTCGTAGAGATCACTCCGTCTTCTTGCTGAGACAAGGTCCTCTTCCAATTGGTTCATCATCAGCCTCATTTCCTCCACTTGAGCCTGGTACTCCTAAACGGCAGGCAACGTAATAAAGGGGGACTTTAGAACGCCCAAAAGACAAGACAGGTGGTGAAGACGGAGGAGCATCAATCAGGAAGCGAAGACGCAATTGAAGAGAAATTGGCATAGAAAGACTTACAGACCCAGAGAGAAGGTGAGGGGGAAGACAGACCCAGAAAGGGACACTGGGTGGCCAAAGTGGAGGGGTGTAGGGGAAAGAAGAGGGAGAAAATATTAAATCTAAAAACTGTTTTAATGCATAACATGTAATAAGTGGGAACGCATGAGCCAGTAAGATCCTTCGAGCAAATAACACCACACAATAAGCACAGACCCTTCAGGCCTAACACAGGACAGCTGAAAGGGATGCTCTTCAAACAAGGAGGATAAACTGCTTAGGTGTAGGGTTCCTCCAAGGATAATCATTCATACAGAGTTGTCCTTTAGAAGTCATGTGCCCTAACACAATTAGATATGGTACTTGTTTTAAAATTAACCTTTCAGACTGCACAAGAGGGTAATTGAAAAGCTTAGTGGAAAGAATCCTGGAAGGTGAAACTCATCATGTCAGTTTCTCACCATTAATTTCTCTGGGCCCAAAACTGAGTGATCAACTTAACATCTCTCCTGCAATGCAAGTCACCCTGAAAGTTGGAAGAGTCACAAAACACTGGCTCTGGTCAAAATGATGTGTGAGAAAAAGTCCAAGGAAAGAAAGAGCTTGTTCCCTTCAGCTAAACCCTTTAAAGTGATCCGAATAGCCCAACCTTTTCCAAAATGCCTTTGTAAAATCAAAACGGAACATTTGAATAGATTTTTTCCAGAATTGGATTTACCAGAAGAAAAGGAGAACTTTCAGACAAAGTATAAAAATATTCTTTGTTAGCAAAATCAAGGCTAAGTATAAGGATTACGAATATTTATCTAAGCCAAGGTGCCTTGGACAAAATGAAAAAAACAAGGAAGCTAAATGATAATGTCTTTGACATTCGCAATATACAGTAATATCTCTAAGATATATTCTCCCAAGAAATAATTGGTGAGTAATATTTAAGTATTACTCCCAAGAAACAATTGATTGAGCAAGGATCTTCTTTTAACCAGTAAATTGCAATTTTTAAATAACAGGGTATAAGGAAACTTTTTATCTCATTGTTAACAGGTGACCCCCTCCAAAGCACACCTCTCCCTATGTTATCCGTAAAGTGGAAAGCGAAAAAACGAGCCCAAAGTGGAGCAGGGGTCTCACTTCACTCCTTCCCACCCAAAGCATACTGTTGTTAAAGGTCAGTCCTTGGGCTCACGGGGCACCCAGGTTTCCCGGGTGGTGCATACCAAGCAGGTGACGCTGGATTATATAACCAAAGGGCTTTACAATCTGCTCACAATTATCTGAACTCACAGAGTGGAACATGAGCCATATGTAGAATGGTACATCCTTTACCTGGGGTTTTTCTAGAGCCCTAAGCCAGAGCTACATTATGACTTTCATGGCTCTGAGCACTGAGCCTTCCTTGACCCCTTCCCTCCATTAAAAACAACAAAAAAAAATTAATCACATTTTACAACTGCGCTCATATAAATACAAAAAATGTTAATAATATCTATAAAAGCAATGTCTTTGACCCAAAATCTTATTTTTTTTCTTCTGATGACAAAATTAAAACATTTTATGGGACCCTAAAAGTACAGTGGTCCTTAGATACCGTGCCTGCTGTGCATAATGGAAAAGCCGGCCCTGCCCACAGGCACAAACACCGAATTGTGCAGGCAACAAAGGGGTAGAAGAAAGTCTTGGGCATCTTTTATCCCCAAGCTCCCTTGTCTTTCTTGAATTTATATCAGCAAGAAGGGGACGTAATTTCTGTGTTTTGTCAAGAGCAGGAACAAGCATCTGTTCTTTCCCCCCAAAATCTCTCTCCCCTGAGCTGTCAGCACCCAAGGAGGAGGAAGATAAGAGTCAGACAACAACTCTGCCAGCTCTCTGAGCTCTTGGGTTACCCAGCCTGCTACAAGCATCGAAAGAAATTCTAACTCATTTGTTGATTCCCTGTTGTTATGCTGGATACTTCAAGAAAAGTCCAGCAGCTAATGAAATCCCTGCTTCAGGAAAAATCTGAGAGGAGATCATCAGGTCTGTTTCCAAGGGCAACTGAAAGAGCTGTTGCATCTCAGGATGGAATCACTGACAGGTATGGGTTGTGTGGGTTCACAACAAGGAACCATGGACTCATTTCAAGGCCCACCTAAGGCAAGTCTTCTGAGTGGAGCTTCAGAACTTTGCAGGGAGGAAGTATCAGGCATGGTCCTATTCACTCAGAAACCCTGAAACAGTGACTTCTGTGTCACCCACACTTTTGTTTCCTTTCATGAAGTGGCTGGGGAGGGGGGAAAAAACCAGCAATCACTAGTAATGGTGAATAAATCAAATTCTCACATGAGACTTTTAGGTGTTTTCCTTTTCAGCCAAATCCAAACATTCTACAGGAGACAGCAAAAATTAAGAGCTTTATAGAAAGTTAGATTTGGAGAGAAAGAACAGGAACTAAATCCCAAATCTGAGAGGAATCAGTATGCTGCTAACTAAATACTAGAAGTTTGCTGCAAGCATTAAAAGCTTTTTTCTGGTTTGCAAACATCCTGCTCTCACGAAACTTAACAAAAATCATTTTATTAAATCCTTCTTCCGATGAGAAATAAAATCCGAAACCAAGAAGTATTCTTCCCCCCAATGGAACTTTTAGCAGTCATTAAATCTAAAACTCCACATGCGTGCCAACTGTGATAGGAATCATAAAAGACATTTCTTTGAACTCAACCACCAGCATATATATACCTTTTCAAAATGTCCTGGTAATTCTGTCTCTATGGAATTCATGGACACCAGTTGCTCCCTCTGGTGGCCACACAGCTTTCATTTCCCCCGGATGTCACCAAAAGTAAATTTCCAAACACATTGAACTAATGGGAGAAAAAGAATCCTACCTCTTGAAACTTTTAGGATGAAAAACTATGTTGATGAAAGGGGCATGAGTCAGCTGTCAAAGCAGATTTCTCAGAGTGTATGTGCAGCCTTCAAAATCTCCAAGGTCAGTATTGTTCAGAGACCTGATAATCCATTTGCAAAGTTTCCTATGCACATTTATTTATAACATTTTTATCAAACAAGAGGCTATTAACCCATCATTTGAAAATATTAAGGTCATAAGTATACTAGCCCAACAAAAGCCCAAAGATAATAATTCTTTCTTTAAAGATTAATTAATAGATCAAGTTATTTGCAGGAGTTTCTTGCATTAGCACCAGCCAGATGGCTAAGTTTGTGCTACCCAGAGATAAAAATGTTCATTTCCATCAATGTTTCCATTAGATTTTCTGAAGTGAATGAGAGTTGCCTGGCAGCTGATAATTTAGCTCTCCAATTGCTCATTGCCATCTCTTCATTAAAGTTTCTATTTACAGTTTCCTCAAAAGACAGAAAAATCCATGCTAAAAAGGAAACAATGAGCCAATATAAAAATGAACCATCCAAAAAGAAAACCCTTTTAGAAAGGAGAAAAAAAGAGTGGGATTTTTAAAGGTCTCAATTCTCTTTTCTGAACACACAGGGGACAGCTTTCTGCACTCAGATCTTCTGTGTCAATTCTGACTCAGCCTGAACAGCTCAAATTTTTCTTCTAGAATATTTCTTTTTTTTTCCCCTGCCCTTGGACATCGATAGACTATTTCTTTATACAAGTTTTGGCTTCTCTCAAAAACTTAAAGTGCTTCTGAAAAGCTATAAGAAGATTTCATTTTTTTTAACCATCTAAAGCAAGGGTTGGCAAACTTCTTCTGTAAAAAGCCAGATAGTAAGCAGTGTTAGCTTTGTGCGCCATACGTTCTCTGTAACAACTACACAGCTCTGCTTCTGTAGCTTGAAAGCAGCTATGGCCAATATGTAAATAATAAGCATGCTGTGTTCCAATAAAACTTTATGAACATTAAATTTTGGATTTCATATAATTTTCACATATCACAAAATATTGTTTTCCTTTTTTATTCAACTGTTTAAAAACATAAAACCCTCATTTTTGAAGGATAGCATTAATAACATAAAACCCATTCTTTAAAAAAAAAAAAATGAAACCATTCTTAGCTTGCTAGCCGTAGAAAATAGGTGGTGGGCCAGATTTACCTCATAGGCTGAAGTTTGCCCACTCTTGCTCTAAACCTACATCTTTATTAAAAAGAACAGACATGGGGTACAGACATCAAAAAGAGCTGGAACAAGCACTCTATAATTTATATAACTCATGGGAAATTTAAAGTTTCTAAATGACCTATATACCTTTCTCTTTCCTCCTCTCCCCGCCCCACACTTTCTCTCTCTCCACCAGGCCTCTCCTGAAATTAGAGGTCCGAGGCGCTGAGGTGCTGCTCTGCTCCCAGGCAAGCAGTCCTACCTGCTCTTTGATTTCTTGGAGCTTCCGGCTCTGCTCTCTGATATCGTGGAGAAGCTGCAGTGCTTTGTCATCCTCCTGGGACACCTCCATCCGGGCTTGCTCCAAACTTCGCTTTAAGCTCTGCAGAAAGCAAAAATTTTAATAGGGATGCCCTGTGGATCCTGCTCTGTTTGAAAAGACTCATTAAGAGAGCTGCACGCTGCTTGGCAGACACCAGGACGGTTTCGGGTGACGGACCCACGTTGACGGTTTCCAGTTGGTTGCCGATTCCAGTTTTCATCCTGTAAAACCCCTTGGGGTTCAAGAAACATCATCTCAACCTTGTGACCTTAGAGATCCAGCCTGAAACTGCATCAACCTGTCTTCTGCCACCATCTACCTGTTCTAGCAGATACTTACTTGTATGTTTAGGACTAAAACCTAGTAAGACCCTTTGGCCATTACAACCACCATTTGGATGGCCATAAAGTCTTCTCTGTCGTATCAGTTATTCGAGGGCTCTCAAGCATATATGCCTCTTTCAAAGTAGCAATGACTTCATATCCTCTGCCCAGGTGTCATTTAAGACTGCAAGTAGTCTATTTCTACCTCCTGGCTTATTTTTCCTGGACACCTTTCATCCATAAGGTTCCCTCAATGCTTGAATGGCACTGAAATATGTATCTGAAATACATAGCTGAATAACTTCACCCACCACTGAAAGGCAGCCAAGTCTGGAATGGAAACATAGCAGTTATTCTTAATCAGCCACGTTCTATAGATTTCCTCTCCCTTGTGAAAAAAACTTTAAAAATGTGTGATTCAACTTCTTAAGACTGTTTAATTGAGCACATTAAAAAACACCTGAATGAAAAATTTAACGAGACAATGGAGAAGAAGACAGGCTAGTCTTGTGAAGGAAAGAAAAAACAAAAGCCACATGGTAAATAATGACAGAGGGTCTAGGTTTCAAAGGCTGTTTTCTTGTCGCTACGCTGCTTCTAAGCAATGGAAAATTGATTTTGGGCAGATTTGAAATATGTTTTCTTGTATGTATTTGGGAGTTTGGTTCCCAAGGCTGATCATTTCAGACACAGTATAGACCAGAGAGGTTGGGATGGGAGATCTCAGGACCCTCTGCAACTTGCTGCAAAGATGGCTTACTCCCATCACCAGGCTCCGTGGTACCACAAATCTACCTAGACTTTCTGCTGGAAAGGAGTCCAGCCTCGTTTCTTGGGAACCTCATGCCTGGCTCATGCTACTCTGCAAATCACAGATCTTGCTTTTGTACTCTCCTCCTCTCTACTCTCTGCCATTGGCTGTGATGTGCCTCATGGAGCCGTCATGAAACAGGATGAGACACACACAACAAGAAGTGCCACCTCCAAGGGAAGGGGACTTGGGGGAAGGCTCACACTGCATTCTGTGATGTAGGTAGCAAGGTCCTGCTCCAGGAGGGATCTCTGAGTCTCAGAGGCCTTCAGCTCCACCTCCTTCTGACTAAGCACAGCCTCCACCTCTGACACTCTCCGATGTAACCGGGTCATTTCCTGCTCCATCTGAAATAAACACATCGACAGGTTAAAAGGGCCCGTGGAGGTTCGTTAGGCGCAATCAAATCTCAAGTAGCCTCCGAAACCACCTGGTGGTCTGGGCTATGGCTAATTCGCCAAAAGTTAAGTTGGGATGGAAATACCATTGTTTCTTCGCCCAGGAGCGCACAGTTCTTCGCAAGGACAGTCACCAAATGCTAAGTCACTCCTCTCATTCAAGTCCTGGTTCACACTTGATCACTTCTCTAACCCAGTTAGCAAGGAAGCCACAATCATTTTTCACCTGTTTGCTTTTTGTTTTTGTTTTTGTTTTGTTTTTGCAGACGTCACTTTAATTTTATCCCAAATCCATCTTGATCCCCCCCATCTCCTTGCAAAGATCTAGAGGACAAATCCAGGACAGGGCAAGGAGATATTTATTCGTCTGCACTCTTAGGAGTCCCAGGCAAGCAGTGACTTTTATTAGTTTCCAGAGAGTGGCCTCTGGGCAGGAACAGTGAATGTTAAGAGACGTTGCACATTATCAATACAGTGGCCGCAGTGACATAAGCAGGAGTTTTAAAAGACTAGGAAGAGAGACTTCGCATCACTCAAAGCAGATGGGATGCATCTCAGCCACAGGTGAGGACCCAGGCCACCTGCCGGAAGAAGCAGACATCTGGCTGGGTCATGCTGAGACACGGGCCGTTTTAAATCCAGGGCCTCCTCTGGTTTAGATTTAAAGGGTTTACAGCAACAGCAAGGCCCGAATTCATCTCCCTTTGAGCGGCTGCAGGCGCGACTTCAGCGAGGGAGGGAGCGCCTCGCTCTCTATGGATCTGGTGGCTCAGCGCCCACAGCGGCCCCAGGCGGATCCCTTGGCATATATTGACGGGAGGATCCTGGAGCAAGGAGGGAGGCCAGCTGCGGAGATAAATACCTTGTGACACTTGTCCTGAGAGTCTTGTAGCTCTTTGCTTTTGATGAGAAGTTTCTTTTCCATGGAGCTAGTCTTGGCAGGGGAGTCCAGACCCGAAACAACAGACCTAGATGGAGGAAAAGCAACGTCAAGGTGGCCAGCAGGTGGGCCTGAGGAGCTGCATTTTAAAACTGCAGCAGAGGCGCGGACCCACCAGTGTTCTGTGGCCACCGGCAAAGGTGGCCTAGGCAGCTTCTAATGACCCCCAGGCCATGAAGCAGGGAGGTGGAAGGAAGTGAGGACCCTGGGAGCAGGTGGACCTGGATGTAAATTCAGTTGCCACTAACCTGAGGCGATGATTCTGCCTCTGGGAGCCTCAGTTTGCAAATCTATAAAGTGGAATGAAAAGAAAAGTACCTACCGCACAGGAAAGTGTGAGCATTAAGTGCGTGGCACGGTGCCTGCCTGACATGGCTTCATTCGCTCACTCGAATAGTCTGTACTGTGTACCCACTCTGTTCTAGAAACCGATCCAGGCACTGGCATACAGCAGTGAACAAGACAAACACGGTCCCTGCCCTCCTGGAGCTGACATTCTATAGAGGGCAGACAGAATGCATCAGGCAGACACACAAACAAAAGGCTACAGATGATGCTAACTTCTGTGAAAGAAGGAAACAGGGTGACATGAGGAAATGGGACCGAGGGCCTGTTTTCTTCCCCGCTGTGAGCAGGGGAAGCTTCCCAAAGGAGGTGGCATTTGACCTGAGACCTGAAGAATAAGAAGGTGCTGGCCACCCAAAGCTCTGGAAGGAAACGAACTCCACGGAGAGGAGACAGCAGATGCAAAGACCCCAAGGCAGAACAGAGCTAACATAGCAAGTGCACAATACATGTTGTCAGTTACTCTACTGGTCCAAGTATCGTCTAGTCCGTCCCCAAGCCAGGCAGTTTGGTTCTGTTTCATTTTATAAAAACATCTAATGCTTATGATGATAGGTAAAATAACACCCCCACCTCCTTTCCAAAGATGCCCGTGTCCTAATCCCTGGAAGCTGGGATGAAGTTACCACACATGGCAAAAGGGATTTTGTAGTGCTGATTAAGTTAAGGATCTTGGGGTGGGGGGATTATCCTGGATTAGCCGGGTGGGTCCAACGTCCTCGCAAGGGTCCTCATAAGATGGAAGCAGAGGAGGAGAGGTGACAGTGGAAGCCAGGCAGGTCAGCCCCACTGATCTGAAGACACTACACCAACGGCTTTGAAGATGGAGGAAGGGGCCACGAGCCAAGGAATGCAGGCCACCTCTAGAAGCTGGAAAAGGCAAGGAAATGGATTCTCCCCTAGAGCCTCTAGAGAGAGTACAGCCTTGTCTACACTGATCTCAGCTCAGTAAAACTCATCTCAGACTTCTGATCCCCACAACTGTGCGATAATAAATTTGTGCAGGGCCAGAGTGTCAGCCAGCAAAGGCTCTCACACACAGAGGGACATGGCAGAGCCCACCACTGCCCCACAGTCCTGTCTCTGTTGCCCCGGTAACAGGGCTGCAGGAGCTATTTGTGAAAGAGCTCTCAGGTCTTACCAGCAGGTGAAAGTTCTGCTTTCTGCTGCCTCAAACTAATTCTCTGCCTAAAAGAGGTCAGTTCCTTGCAGCAATGCAAAACACCTCTGTCCCTGCAGCTCCCGGCCAAAGACACGGGCTGGCATGATAGTACTGCCTTGCTGTACCCCAGTGACAGCTCCCTACGCTCACGCTGTAGGGCAGCCAGCTGAGTCAACACACAGAATCATGCTCCTCTGTTGGAAATCTGACCCTGACACTCACTAGCTATGTGACCTCTCTGAACCTCAGTTTCTCCATCTGTAAAATGGGGATAATTCCCAACCTACTTCAAAGAGTTCTTATGAAGATTAAATAACATATGTAAAGCCCTTATTAGCACAGTGCCTGACACATTGCAAGGGTTCAATAATGTCACCTGTTACTATTATCATTGTTGCTTTTTATCGTTACTACCCATGCAACTTTGTAAATAGCACATGCCTCACAGGCCTAAAACAGTTGGTAAAACTCAGAGGGCTGAATTTGCTCGGTGCAATTATTCACATTAAAACAAATGTTGATTATTCATAGAAATGGGCAACAGGGATTGAAATCCAGAAATAAATCTTTTAAAAATCTCATTTTTGGCTAGAAATTTTAACCAAGTTCTACACCTCTCACCAGCCTGTTTTCTACCTAAATCTAGCCAACACACACACACACACACACACACACACACACACACACACTCTCTCTCTCTCTCTCTCTCTCTCTCTCTCTCTCTCTCTCTCTCTCTCTCCCCCCTTTCTTTTTTGTATGAGATGAAATGGATTGCTTGGCATGGCCTTGAGTTCCCTTTGCTATCTCCGTTATTCCTGATTGTACTTTGGTAGGTGAGTTAGAGAATAAGACCCAAACCACCCAAGGAGGGAGGGATGGTCCAAAACGGGATGGGGTCCCCAATTCTTCAATAATCAAGAGTCACCCACATGTCACGAAGTCTCACGCATGACATGCGTCAGGGATGACCGCACAGGCCACAGCTCTTTGTGCCAGAGCAGGAAACTTGGCACCCTTTTGAAAGAACTATGACACGGGTGTGTGATGGGGGTGGGTGGGCTGTGGCTTGGAAAACGTAATGACATGTGGAAAGCAGGCTCCGGCAGGGCTGAACGTTTAAAGTGCGCTGCTGTGGGTACAAAACACATTGCTTATTCACACACACACAACAAAGGCATTTCTAGGTTATTGATGGGGCCCAGAATCGAGGAGATGTGCAGCCACCACCCACGGCACTCTCAGGAGCTGACGCAACAGCACTCCTTGTCACCCCAGGTCCAACCCCTTCATTCTGCTATTCTGATGCTTGACAAACGCTCACTGTTTAGAAGTTCTAAGTACAGCAATTAAGAGCTCTTCAAAACGAAGGTGCTGAAGAAATCATTTTTTTTTTTTTAGAATAAATAAAAATCACATCTAAAAAAAGCTATGGTAAGAATGCTGCAACTAAATTGGGCTTGTAGCAGCAATCCCATAAACAATAATGGGATTAGAGGTGACGCTGGAGGGTAGAGGGGAAAAGTCACTGCTGCTTTCTGTAAATTCCCTGGTTCTCAACTCAGTTGCACATCAGAATCACCTAGAGGGCCAGGCGCGGTGGCTCACACCTGTAATCCTAGCACCCTGGGAAGCCGAGGCAGGAGGACTGCTTGAGCTCAGGAGTTTGAGACCAGCCAGAACAAAAGCGAGACCCTGTCTCTACTAAAAATAGAAAAATTAGCCAGGCATGGTAGTGCACACCTGTAGTCCCAGCTACTTGGCGTGGGCCGAGGGGGGAGGGGTGGCGGAGGGCAGGGTGCTGAGGCAGGAGATCACTTGAGCCCAGGGGTTTGAGGTTGCTGTGAGCTATGATGACGCTGGTGCACTCCAGCCCAGGCGACAGAGCGAGACTCTGTCTCCAAAAAAATAAATAAATAAAAGAATCGCTTGGACAGCTTTTACAAAATAATGTGTAGGGTCCATCCAGGCCAATTAAATCAGAGACAGACCGTTTGTATTAAGCTCCTGAGTAACTGTAATACATAGACAGGATCGAGAAGCATGGTGCTAATTAGAAGAAAGTGCTTGTGTCTTAGAGTCTAGGCATTTAAAACTCATAGTATGACTATCCCCAGCATTTAGTGCCACAAGGCATTCTGGTCAGGCCATTTGGTACTCGTGCCTTTTGGTAGCTCTTTCAGTGGGAACCCCATTTGGAAGCTAATCATGGTGGGCTATGAATTTCAAGATCATGTACAGGTATCAGATAATGATTAAAGCCTATTCCCCCCAATTTTAATAAATATTTCAATTAAAATATACCACTTCCATGAATTTCTATAAAAGAAATATGCTCCAGCTAGACATGGCTCAACTTAAAATATTTATATTCTATTTATTTTTCATGTAGACACAGGACACTTGAATCTCTAGCACCAATGGTAAGTTCTCAGTATGTATTTCTTGAGTGCACAGATTCCCCTCACCCCCACAACAGGTATTCTAAAATATCACAATTTATTTTCTTTTTCTAAGATTTTCATTAGCCATCCTTCTGACTTACACAGCAACGGCAAGTTACTAGCATTTTTCTAGAATTTCCCATAATGTAAATCACAGCTTGAGAGGTTTGATCCAAGACTGGCCTGAGAGCCACCAGACTATTAACAAATAAAGCCCTGTCTTCTTCAAGCAGCAAACCTGCTAGTCTAAAATCACCCCAGAAAGTACCATTTCATCAAGCATGGTATTATTTAAAGAGCCGATACAATCATTGCTTTAAGGCAAGTTTGCAAAAACTCCTGTTAACTGGTTGGACCTCTAAAGATATGGGCAACGGGGTGCAGAATTACAGTAAAGAAATATCTAATTATGAACTTCTGTCGACCCTGGAACGGGCCATAGTCTACCTGCTAACTACGGAGTCCTTCCAAGATTTTTCCTTTGTTCTCAAAATTCTCAAACTGCAACAAATATTTTTTGACCACCTTCTATGAATGTGAGAGTATGTGTGAGTGAGTGAGTGAGTGTGTGTGTGTGTGTGAGAGAGAGAAAGAGAGAGAATATAAAAAGGAGAATACAAAAGCCCTGTGATCTCCACGAGAGGTACCTGTAGACCAGCGGTTCTCAACCGGGGGCAATTTTGCCCCTTCCCCCACACTGGGGACATTTGGCAATGTCTAGAGACTTTTGATGTTCATGACTGTGGATGGGGTGCTATTAACATCCAGTGGGTAGAGGCCAGGGATGCTGCTCAGCATCCTACAATCCACAGGACAGTCCCCACAGCAAGAATCATCCAGCCCCAAATATCAACAGTGCTGAGTTGAGAAACCCTTCCATGGAGACTATAAAGTAAAGGAAGCCACCATTCCTGTCCTCAAGGAAGTAATACTCTAGGAGAGAGAATTGATGCCACTACCTTTGTCATCAGTAAGAGTGCCATTTGTGGAGCACGTACTATGTGCCAGGCACGGTGCTTAGTGCTTCACGGGTTACCTCAGTGACTCCTCCCCACAATCCTATGAGATGGGTATTAGTGG